CAAGAACGCATGGCGCAGCTCCTGTTGGAAATTGAGGCGCTAGAGAAGCAGCAGAGCTCGATGCATATGGGAGCCCTGCTCTTATCTGCGATGCAGACTTGGCAGTTCTGGGCCTGGCTTGGTGTTATTCTCCTGAACATTTTGATCGTGTGGCTGCTCTTTAGAGATCTCCTAAGACGTGTAAACAGGAGGGAGGAAGAAAGCTCTAGCAGCGATGATGACCAGCAGAATAATAACAGAAATCGTTTTGAAGAAAGGGACGAAGGGAGGATTTTTGCAGAGAGAATCCAGTGGCCAGTGCAGCACCTCCAAATCAACTGTCAAGTGATGATGTCCATAGTGGGAGACCTCCTCTATATCACCCAACGTTCCCTGTCGAACACTTACTTTCCAGTGCTGCATACACCCATTGGAGTGGGCAGTGCCTTTGAAGGCTGGACTCCTTCGGAGGAGTATAATATTGTCTATCGCATTTTCATACCCATAACGGCTCCTCGTGGGCACTCCTTCCACCTGGAGCTGGGCAACGAAGAGGAGCTACCATCAAAGAATTCTCGTATTCGCGTGGAGCTGGAGTGCACATGCGCGAGGGAGCAGAGCTTTGGGAACGTGCTGTGCTTCCTCCACCAACCTGAGGAGGAGCTGAGAAGAAATCGGGAGCTCAACCTCCTACAAACACTGTGCACTGGCTCCTACCTGGATGTGCATAAAACCTCCTTCTGGTTCCAGCAGATGATGAAAGCAGCATGGAAATTTTTGCCTGAGTCGGCCAGACATCACGTTGCTGTGCTGCCATCCAGACGCTCCTGCAAGCTCCGTGTGTTTGATGTCTTCGATAAAATCCGCTTTGTTGAGTTCATTTTTGGAGTGCAACAAGGCGATTCAGACATTTTTCTCAGCAGCGAGAAAACTGATGCTATCTTTACCCCGGACACAGTATGGCCGCAGAGCTGCACAGTGGCAGAGATGAAGTTCTTCCAGTACATAAAAGCGCATGCCCCGCAGGACAGCTACCACCTCAGATGCATGCAGCTCTGTGCCCGTATCGTGGTGGGCAATGATTTTACCACCTATGTCTTGAAGACAGTCGTCATGCACCTGCTGAACACCATCCCTTTGGAAAGATGGTGCAGGAGGGAGTTTTTGCAGCGCATGGATGACATCATGCAGTACCTGCACAGCTGCATAGTGGAGAAACGCCTGGACCACTTCTGGTTAGGAAACGAGCAAATGCCTGAGGAGTTCATCTTGCCTCCGGATTTCCAAACATCCAGACCACCCAACCTCTTCCAGCACATGGCAGAGGATCCAAATGTCCATGCCCGGGCACTGCGTGAATTCCAGGAGCTGCGAGATCGGCTCAAAAGACTGTTGACGTTTGGGAACTGAGAGAGGCCTTCATGCAGAGCTCTCTGGGGCACTCTGCTGACAGCTGGCAATGACCTCCCACCACAGAAAGAAGAGGGGAGAACGCAGGACACAGAAAAAGACGGGAAAACTCTGTGCAGCAACCCACTGCCAAGTGTGGCAAGATCCTCGTGTGGACAATCTACCAAGCGTAGTAACCACTGATGACTACGGTGGCTACAACCACAACTGCTTGCCACGTGCTGCAGAGCTGAGCATGCTGGACATGGAGAAGATGCTGCTCAGTTGGCAGTGGGAATTGCTCCTCCGTGTTCTCTCCACAGCAAAACCACCCTTGCGGGAGGCACACCCCATGCAGCTGCTTGAAGCAGAGGCTTTGTTACCAGCTGGACAGTGACCATCTAGCTCTTGCACATTGTCCATTCCCTCTGGGAGCTCGGCCTCTCCAAAAATCCTAATATATTGCTTGCTTAAACAAACGTTTTGTCCGTGAGTGTCTGTACCACACTTGGTCAGGAAAGGCAGGCATGAGGTGCCACAGCATTGGGAAGCATTTTGCTGTGGAGCTGATTCCGTGGGCTCCAACTGCGCTCCTTCTGGAGCTAAAGCACTGCTGCCTGTCTTTGGTCCTCCAGCAGGGCAATGAGAATAGCTCAGGACCCTCCACAAAGCCGTCTGTTGCTGGTGCGCTGTGTGGAGTCTAAAGGGGGGACTTATGGGACCTGAGGCAAACCATGCCCTGGGAGTCCAATGGCATTGCCCACGATGACCACGGGGATGCAGAGGTCACACTCTTGTTATAAATGAAGATACAAATCAATCTGAATCTAGTACTATATATAAAAGGCAAGTAAACAGCGCTGAGTGTGCAGGCAGTCTACGCTCTACCAACATGCACACACTAACATCAAACTTTCTAAATATATAGAACATTGTTTTTACATATTCATAAGAAACCCAAGTATACCTACAGATATGTAGAACCAGAAAAGGTATCAATCGAAGCATAAACTTATCTAAGTTTTCCGAATTCTGGCAAGTGTTTAACAAACAATCCTTTAAGTCTATTACTATTAATGTCTATGACTGGGGGAGCATAGTTGGAGTTGGTAATCCTGGTTGATGCTCCCATATCTTCCATACAACAGTCTCCATTTTCCATTCCTTTTCTTGATTACAAACACCGCAGAATTTCCATCCACCCTCTTCCCTCTTCCCCCCTCTCATGCCCAAGCAGCGCAGGGGAACAAGGGAATGGGGGTTATGGTCAGTCTACAGGGCTTCTTCTCTGCCACTCCTTCTCGGTCACTCCCGTCCCCTGTGCTGTGGGGTCCCTCCCACGGGATGCAGTCCTTGATGAACTGATCAGGCGTGGGCTTCCCACAGGCAGCTGCTCTTCCAAAGCTGCTCCAGATATGGGTCCTTACCACGGGGTCCATCCCTCAGGAGCAAACTGCTCCAACCTGGCTCCCCCACGGGCAGCAGCTCCTGCCCCATCACCTGCTCCTGCGTGGGCTCCTCTCCACGGGCTACAGGTCCGGCCCGGAATCTGCTCCGGCAGGGGTCTTCCACAGGCTCCGTCGGTGCAGGGCCACCTGCTCCACCGTGGTACTCCATGGGCTGCAGGGGGACAGCCTGCTTCACCACGGGCCTCACCACAGGCCGCAGGGGACTTCTGCTCCGGCGCCTGCAGCACCTCTCCCCCTCCTTCTGCACTGACCCTGGCGCCCGCAAGGCTGTTCCTCACTCCTCTCACTCTCCCAGCTGCTGTATATATTGCAGCGTTTTTTTCCCTGTCTTAAATATGCTCTCACAGAGGCACAAAATAATACTGTTGTTGGCTCAGCTTACTGGCTCGGCTCAGGTCAGCAGAGGGGCCCTTCCCAAACATGGGCCCTTCCCAAACATGGGGCAGCTTCTAGATCCTTCTCCCAGAAGCCACCCCTAAGGCCCCCTGCTACTAAAACCTTGCCACGTAAACCCACTACACCAAGTCACAGCCCTCGTGGACACTGGCAAGAAATGGCCAGGTTGGCTGAAACCCCTTGGAGCGGAAGCCAACTGCTGTACTAAACGTGCTTTGATGCCGATGACTGGCAAAGTCTAAATTCATGGTGCTAATTGTTGGGGTGCAGAGGGCTGTGCAGACTGCATTATTGTCTTCATAAATGTGTCCAGTACCAGTTCTTGTCTCTCATCCAGACCTCCAGCTCTTTCTGTTGCTTGGTTAACACAGATTGATCCTGAACAATCCCTGGCAAGAGCTGAGGCACTGCCATCCAGGGCCAGGCAGTGACACTGGGGGATGCCAGTGCTGGAGAGGAGCTGGGGGAGCAGCCCTGATGGGGGGAGTAGCAGTCCCAACAGAGGGACAGGGGGGAGCAATGGCCCCAACAGTCCTGAGCGGTGCCAGAAAGTTCCTGACAGGTCCCAACGGCTCTGAAGGGACGAGGAACGTTCCTGACAGGCCCCAACGGCTCTGAAGGGACGAGGAACGTTCCTGACAGGCCCCAGTGGCTTGAGGAGGACACTCACAGACAAAGAGTTTGTTCAAGCAAGACATTTATTGGAATCTTTGCAGAGGCCAAGCTCCCAGTGAAATGGACAGGCCAAGAATCAAGCCCACTTGCTATGAGGAGTCTCTGCGTCAAGCATCCATGAAGCAGCCTCTGGAGCTGCATGGGGTCCAGCTCCCCACAGGGTGCTAGCAGGTCATCATCTGCCATCAGCGGAGCGCTCTCGCTGTGCATGAAGATCTCTGTCATGTCCGTAGATCAGCAGTCTTTTCAGCTGATCTCGCACCACCTCGAACTTCTGCAGCTTTGGCATATGGGTCGCGCTTCAGATGCTGGAAGAGGTTGCCCGGGCCAGACAACTGGAAGGCTGGTGGCAGGACAGTCACATCGGGCACCATCTCGTTGCCAAAGAAGTGGCTGAGACATCTCTCTTCCACACAGCAGCGAAGGTACCAACTGATATCATCCAGCCAAAGCAGAAAATCCGTCCCGTGCCACATTTCCAAGGGGATGGTGGCAGCAAGGGTCCCTGGCAGCAGGGACTATGGCCAGGACTGGTGGTGACAGCCACCTGCCCTGCCCTGAGCGGCTGGGCCCTGGCTGCAGGCTTAGCAAGGCCTCGGGGGGCAGCTTTTGTGCCCCAGCCCTGTGCTGCCCAGCCTTCTCCCTGCTGCTGCACTCGCCTCACGGATGGCTCAGGCCAGACTGCAGCAGGGCCCTGAGGGGAGCAGGGACATTCCTGACAGGCACCAAGGGCCCTGAGGTGGACAGGGATGTTCCTGACAGGCCCCAGCGGCCTTTGGAGGGGGGCCAGGACATTCCTGACAGACCCCAGAGGCCGCAGTGTACTGTAATGCCGTCAAACTATATAGGGGCAGAACCCACCCGTATTTATGGGGTGACAGGGGGATCCCAGCAGTTAACTATACTGGAGGATGAAGCGAGTCTAACTGGAAATAAGTGGCAAAAGCAGCGTATTGTGACAGGCCTGGATGCTCCATGCATCCTTGACGTACACTATCTCAGGAGAGGATATTTCAAGGACCCAAAATGGTACCGGTGGGCTTTTGGCATAGCTGCCTTAGAGACAGAGGACACTAAACAGTTGTCTACGTTGCCCAGTCTCTGGGAGGACCCTTCTGTTGGGTTGCTGAGCGTCAAAGAACAGCAGGTGCCAATTGCCACCACAGCTGTGCACCGGCAGCAATATGGCACCAACCGAGACCCCCCATTCTCATCCATAAGCTAATTCATCAACTGGAGAGCCATGGGATGATCAGCAAGATTCACTCACCCTTTCATAGTCCCATATGGCCAGTGCGAAGGTCTAATGGTGAGTGGACTATCGTGGCCTGAATAAAGTCATGCCACTGCTGAGTGCTGCGGTGCCTGACATGCTAGAACTCCAGTACGAACTGGAATCAAAGGCAGCCAAGTGGTACGCTGCAATTGAGATAGCTAATTGATATAGCTAATTGAGACCATCCCTTTGGCAGCAGAGTGCAGGCCACAGTTTGCTCTTACTTTGAGGGGTGTCTAATACACCGGGAATCGACTGCCCCAGGGGTGGAAACAAAGCCCTACCATACCTAGACTACATGATGTGGACACCGTTTGATTTGCACACCATGGAAGAACTGCCTGTGTTCTGCAGTGTATGAGTGCAAAGAGGAAGGATGCTGGGCTTTTAGAGCACTGGCACATTTATATCTCTCTTGGTATGACAGTTGCAGAACACCTCTCAAGCGTTTTCCCATATTGTGTAGGGTGTGGAAAAGGCTCAGAACCAGCAGAGAGAGGAAGACTGCCACAGACATAGCACGGGGGAGTTGAGAGAGAAGAAGCTTCTTGGATCAGCTCCTCAGCAAAATGCTCCCCGATGCTGTGGCAGCCAAGCTGTCAGCATCTCATGCCTGCCTGTCCTGACCAAGTGTGGTACAGACACTCACGGACAAAGCATTTGTTTAAGCAAGCAATATATTAGGGTTTTGGGGAGGCCGAGCTCCCGGAGTGAATGGACAATGTGCAAGAGCTAGATGGTCACTGTCCAGCTGGTAACAAAGCCTCTGCTTCAAGCAGCAGCATGGGGTGTGCCTCCCGCAAGGGTGGTTTTGCTGTGGAGAGAACACGGAGGAGCAATTCCCACTGCCAACTGAGCAGCATCTTCTCCATGTCCAGCATGCTCAGCTCTGCAGCACGTGGCAAGCAGTTGTGGTTGTAGCCACCGTAGTCATCAGTGGTTACTACGCTTGGTAGATTGTCCACACGGGAATCTTGCCACACTTGGCAGTGGGTTGCTGCACGGAGTTTTCCCATCCTCTTCTGTGTCCTGCGTTCTCCCCTCTTCTTTCTGTGGTGGGAGGTCATTGCCTGCTGTCAGCAGAGTGCCCCGGAGAGCTCTGCATGAAGGCCTCTCTCAGTTCCCAAAGTTCAGCATTTGCATGAGCTGCTCTTGCAGCTCATGGAAATCAGTGTGCGCCTGGGTGTATTGATCCGGGTCCTTTGCCATGTGCTGGAAGAGGTTGGGTGGTCTGGATGTTTGGAAATCCGGAGGCAAGATGAACTCCTCAGGCATTTGCTCGTTTCCTAACCAGAAGTGGTCCAGGCATTTCTTCCTCAGGCACGAGCACAGGTACTCCATGATGTCATCCATGCGCTGCAAAAACTCCCTCCTGTGCCATCTTTCCAAAGGGATGGTGTTCAGCAGGTGCATGACGACTGTCTTCATCATATAGCTGGTAAAATAACTGCCCAGCGCGATACGGGCACAGAGCTGCATGCATCCGAGGTGGAAACTGTCCTGCTGGGCATTCGCGGCTATGTTCCGGAAGAACTTCATCTCTGCCACTGCGCAGCTCTGTGGCCATACTGTGTCCGGGGTAACGGGAGCCTCAGAGTAATCGCTGCTCAGAAAAATGTCCGTATCACCTTGTTGTACCCCAAACATCATCTCAACGAACACGGTTGATCCGGTGTCATCAATCAAACGAAGCATGCAAGAGCGTCTGGTTTTCAGTACTTTAACCAGCCATGAAGATGAATGAGGCACAGATTTCCAGGATAATTTCGCCAGCTGCTGGAACCAGGAGGAGACTTTACGCACATCCAAGTAGGAGCGAGTGCACATAGTTCGTAGGAGGCTGGGTTCCTGATTTCTTCTCAGCTCCTCCACAGGGTTGTGGAGGAAGCACAGCATATTCCCAAACTCCTGCTCCCTCCAGCACGTGCACTCCAGCTTCACGCGAATACGAGAGACCTTTGATGGCAGATTCCATTTGGTGTTCTGCTCCACGTGGAAGGAGTGCCCACGAGGAGCTGTCATGGGAATAAGGCAGCGGTAGACCGTATCACCCTCCCGGGGACTCCAGCCTTCAAAAGCACTGCCCACTCCAATGGGTGTCTGCAGCACTGGAGAGAAAGTGTCCTTAAAGACCCAGTCACAGGCACGGCAAAAGCCGCGCACCATTTCCTCCACAAGCCGGCAGTAGTTGGTCAGGTTTACCTGCTGCCGCTGGATGCTCTCTGCAATAGAAATGGATGTATTCGATTCATCGTTGAGCGCTGGTTCTTCCAAGTCCTCATCGCTGCTGGAGCTCTCCTCGTCGCTGCTGTCATCAAACACCTCGAACTTTTTACGAAGCCAAAACAACAGCCAAATTAAGAGGAGAATAAAACCAAGACTGGCCCAGAACTGCCAAGTCTGCATCGCAGATAAGAGCAGGGCTCCCATATGCATCGAGCTCTGCTGCTTCTCTAGCGCCTCAATTTCCAACAGGAGCTGCGCCATGCGTTCTTGCATCTCCTCCGCATACCGCCGCATGCGCGCATTTGTAGCTTCATCCAATTCATCCCCGACTTTCTGTGGGCTGATGACTATGCCCAAAAACGCCAGGAAATAGAAAGCTGCCGAAACCATGGTCTGAAAGAGAGAGAAGCACGTCAGTGGGGCTGGGTGGGAGCTGGATGGCGGCTGAGGGAGCTGCGGCACGAGCCTCAGGCCCCTGCGGTCAGGAAGGAGAGGGGGCGAGGGAGCTGGGAGGCAGCAGGGACTGTGGGCAGTGCCAGCGGGGACAGCCACGAGCCCTGGCCCAACCCAGTCTTCCCCCTGCTGCTGCACTCACCGATGGCTCAGGCCAAAGTGAAGCAGCGCTGCCCGCGGCTGCCTTTAAAGCCTCCCCCCCATTGTGACACGTCCTCTGTGATGCCACCTGCGCCCACACCGCGTCACAGGACCCCTGCCCCGCCCTCGGTGCCCACCGTGGCTCAGCGACTGCCAGCTGCCCTGGGCAGCCCAGGCCCTGGTGTCACCCAAATGCAGTGGCACATGGCTGGAAGGTGCTCCCTAGAATCCCTTTGCACGTCCCACAAATGGCACCCAAACAGGGACAAAACGAAAAAAGGAATGAATAGGGACAGGGTAGCAGAACAGGGACATTGATCACCTCGTGAAGATAGGTTTGATAGGTAAGCAGGCCTCTCATAGTTGTGACTGGGTTACCTGGGTAATATTTTCAGCTGCTGGAGGGATACTAACAGGAGTGTTAATAATTATATGTCTTATTCCTAATATGTCCAAGTATTTTGTGTTGAAAGTATTTGTGTGTGTTTGAAACAAAGTGGAACGAATCACTCCATGAAGAACACAGTGAGAGACAATACTTGTTGGGCTGGTTATCATTCTAAATTATGTGTTCTTGTGGTATATATTATATAACGCAGAGGCACGTGGCCAGATGGAGCTCCTCAGGCTCCGTTTGCACTGCCTGTGGAAGCCCCCAGGGTTATTCTCCAGAAGAAATTCATCTCTCAAAGCATTGGTTCAAGCAGGCAATGTATTGGCTTTTTTGCAGAGGTCAAAGCTCCCAGAGTGAATGGACATGCCCCAGGAGGCCGGGTGGTCACTGTCCTGCTGCTAAGACAAGTCTCTGCTTCAAGCCTCCCTGCAGCAGCCTCTTCAGCAGCATGGGATCTGCCTCCCTCAAGTGGGAGAGAGAAAACAAACAGGAGCAACTCCCGCTGCCAACTGAGCAGCAGCTTCTCTGTGTCCAGTGTACTCAGCTCTGCCGCACGTGGCAAACATTCATATTTGTAGCCACCGTAGTCATCACTGGCTCTGCAGTGGGCAGACCGTCCATATGAGGACCTTGCTGCACTTGACAGCAGTTTGCTGCACAGAGTTTTCCTGTCTTTTTCTTCGTCCTGAGTTCTCCCCTCTTCTTTCTGTGGTGGGAGGTCATTGCCTGCTGTCAGCAGAGTGCCCCGGAGAGCTCTGTGCTTGAAGGACTCTTTCAGTTCCCAAAGGTCAGCATTCTTGTGAGCCGTTCTTGCAGCTCACGGAACTCATGCAGCGCCTGGGAATAGTTAGTCCCGTCCTTTGCTATGTGCCAGTAGAGGATGGGTGGTTTGGACATTTGTAAATCCGGAGGCAAGATGATCTCCTCAGGCATTCGTACGTTTCCTAACCAGAAGTGCTCGAGGCATTTCTTCCTCAGGCACAAGTGCAGGTACTCCACGATGTCATCCATCCGCTGCAAAAACTCCCTCCTGTGCCATCTTTCCAAAGGGATGATGTTCAGCAGGTGCATGACGACTGTCTTCAAGACATAGGGGGTAAAATCATTGCCCACCACGATACAGGCACAGAGCTGCATGCATCTGAGGTGGAAACTGTCCTGCTGGGCATTCGCAGCTATGTGCCAGAAGAACTTCATCTCTGCCACTGCGCAGCTCTGTGGCCAGGTTGTGCATGGGGTTAGATGTTCTCTTTGTGTCTTGCACACAGCAGATTTTCCTTCTGTGTACAAAGCTTCCCAACACAATTTTATTTTGCTGCAAAATGATCACAATAACATTGTGCTGTGCTCTTTGCTTGTTCAGAGAGCTAAAGCTCATCAGGATTTTGGTACATGAAGGCAAAAGGTGAAATATGTTACTTGAATGAGATCTTCCATTTGAAATTTTTAATTGGAATGTATCCATGATGTTCTGTTATATATGTTCATCTGATTTGTGTCAATAAAGAACAGTCCTGTCTGCCTCTGGGCCCTGCACCGGCAATTTAATCTTTGAACCACAGATGCAGTGTGTCCCAGGTTCCCCCTCATTCCAGTCAATTTATCAAGTCTTCAGAAAATACTCCTCAAGTCTATGAACCTGTTTGCTTTTGTTATTCCGAACTCCTATTTCTAACAGTTAAAGCCTTTTTTTTTGTCTTCTTCGAGATTGACTTAACACTGCTATTGGTGTGACTGTCCCTGTGAATGGCTGGTGAAGAATGTTTTAATTACTGGTGGAGTGTCAATAAGAAAGCTATTTGTGTTTGTATGAAGTCTTTGATGTCTGGGGGTTTCAGAACAACTGATAACAACTAGTGACTGTTATGGGATACTATGCAAGCCTCTGATATCTGGCCAGGTGGCCAAGAGATTAGGAAGAAGTAAAAAAAAGAAGCTGAAGGATGGCTAGGAGACAAGACCTGCAGGGGATGCTGTGTAAACTTGACACGGTGCCAAGGAAGTACGAAGGGGAAGGACGAGAAAAATTTTGGAGAGGAAGACTACGAGCCTTCAGCATGCTTCAGGATGCTGTGTAAACTTGACACGGTGCCAAGGAAGTACAAAGGGGAAGGACGAGAAAAATCTTGGAGAGGAAGACTACGAGCCTTCAGCATGAAAGACCCCTAGAGACCCCCAGACGGACCACCGGGGACTGATGCGCATGCTCCAGTAGGAGGGACTGGACCCCGGAAACTAATTATAATAACCTGTTTTTTTTAGAAGTAGAAATGAATATGTATTAGTCTAGGAGCATAAAAATCAGCTACTTGATGTAACTGGTGAGTGTTCTGGTGGAGCGGAGACTCCCGGTGCACCCAGCGCTGTTTGCTTACATCTATTCTTTAAATAAATCCTATTTTTTTATTTAATCCTATTTTGAAGTCTGAGCCATTTCTAACAGCATTATGGGGAATCATATGTCCTTAGAAACAAAGAGTGTCCTGGTAACCTTACAGCTTATTCCCTTTATTAACAATCAGACAGTTTATGATCCTGAAATTATGATCCTGGCAGTGTGCTTGTATTAGTGGGATAAATACATATTCATTTCATTTCCCATGGTTCTCTTGCATATTTGTCAGGTCTCCAAAGAGTCATTAACTCATTAACGCAGGTTCCGGCCCCTATACGCATGCATACTGGAGTCCTTGGATGGTCGTCCGGCATACTCTGGTGGTCTCTTCATGAAGGCCAGAAGTCTTCCTCACTGCTAAACTTCTGACCTTTCCTGTCTTTAACAGACGTCAGCAGCCAAGCCAGTTTATGCTGGTTCCGTTATCTATGCATACAGTCTTTTATGCCCTTGTCTTTGGGTTCTTAATTGTGGTAGCTAAGACCTACAGAATCACCATTCTTTATCTTGTTCCCTGTCTCAAGTCCCCCCTTTTCTTTATCCTAAGGCAAATTCTTTTGCTTACAGCACTCACTGATTCAAAGTTTTCATAAAATTCTTACCACTTTCTACATGGTGCTTGATTCGGTTACACTTTCAGGTTTCATAATCATCTAGTCCTTTTATACAGCACCAAATGCACACTGTACTAATAAACAGGTTAAGAATACTAGTAAAAGTGAGATCAATATTCCTATAAACAATTGCTTAAGCCAAGAAAAGTTGGGTAACCAAGAGATCATTTTGTTTCATAGTTCTTGAAAACCCCATGAGGTGTCATCTTGAACTACCTTATATAAGATCTCGGTCTTTTCCAAACTTTTTTTTAACTTTTTTTTTTTTTTTTTTTTTTGAGATCAGTCTCAATTTGTCCTGCCTCATTTACATACATACAGCAATAGAGCAACTAATATTTCTTAAAGTGCATCCTCCCTCTTGGGAGACTAATAAAAGGTCTAGTGCCTACAACGTTCTAATTGGTGTTATAAATGAAGTCTCAACTCAATCTGAATTTAGTAATATTTATAAAAGACAAGTAAACGGCACTGGGTGTACGGGGAGTCTATGCACTACCAACACGCACACATGAACATCGAACATTCTAAATATACAGAACATAGTATTTCTGTATACAGAAATATACAGAACCGAGTAAGTACAAAGGGTGAGAGGAAGACTACGAGCCTTCAGCATGAAAGACCCCTAGAGACCCCTAGAGGAGACTGATGCGCATGCTCCAGTAGGAGGAACTGGACCCCGGAAGCTAATTATAATAATCTATTTTTTTTAGAAGTAGTAATGAATATGTATTAGTCTAGGTGCATAAAAATCAGCTGCTTGATGTAACTGGTGAGTGTTCTGGTGGAGCGGAGACTCCCGGTGCACCCAGCGCTGTTTGCTTACCTCTATTCCTTTATATTACTTTAATAAATCCTATTTTTCATTTAATCCTAAATTGAATCCTGAGCCATTTATAACAGCGTCAAGCGTCCATGAAGCAGCCTCTGGAGCTGCATGGGGTCCAGCTCCCCACAGGGTGCTAGCAGGTCATCATCTGCCATCAGCAGAGCGCTCTCGCTGTGCATGAAGGTCTCTGTCATGTCCGTAGATCAGCAGTCTTTTCAGCTGATCTCACACCACCTCGAACTTCTGCAGTGCATCAGCTTTGGCATATGGGTCGCGCTTCAGATGCTGGAAGAGGTTGACCGGGCCAGACAACTGGAAGGCTGGTGGCAGGACAATCACATCGGGCACCATCTCGTTGCCAAAGAAGTGGTTGAGACATTTCTCTTCCACACAGCAGCGAAGGTACCAACTGATATCATCCAGCCAAAGCAGAAAATCCGTCCCGTGCCACATTTCCAAGGGGATGGTGGCAGCAAGGGTCCCTGGCAGCAGGGACTGTGGCCAGGACTGGTGGTGACAGCCACCTGCCCTGCCCTGAGCGGCTGGGCCCTGGCTGCAGGCTTAGCAAGGCCTCGGGGGGCAGCTTTTGTGCCCCAGCCCTGTGCTGCCCAGCCTTCCCCCTGCTGCTGCACTCGCCTCACAGATGGCTCAGGCCAGACTGCAGCATGGCCCTGAGGGGAGCAGGGACATTCCTGACAGGCACCAAGGGCCCTGAGGTGGACAGGGATGTTCCTGACAGGCCCCAGCGGCCTTTGGGGGGGGCTGGGACATTCTTGACAGACCCCAGAGGCCGTAGTGTACTGTAATGCCGTCAAACTATATAGGGGCAGAACCCATCTGTATTTATGGGGTGACAGGGGGATCCCAGAAGTTTACTGTACTGGAGGATGAAGCGAGTCTAACTGGAAATAAGTGGCAAAAGCAGCGTATTGTGACAGGCCCGGATGCTCCATGCATCCTTGACGTATACTATCTCAGGAGAGGATATTTCAAGGACCCAAAATGGTACCGGTGGGCTTTTGGCATAGCTGCCTTAGAGACAGAGGACATTAAACAGTTGTCTACGTTGCCCAGTCTCTGGGAGGACCCTTCTGTTGGGTTGCTGAGCGCCAAAGAACAGCAGGTGCCAATTGCCACCACAGCTGTGCACCGGCAGCAATATGGCACCAACCGAGACCCCCCATTCTCATCCATAAGCTAATTCATCAACTGGAGAGCCACGGGATGATCAGCAAGATTCACTCACCCTTTCATAGTCCCATATGGCCAGTGTGAAGGTCTAATGGTGAGTGGACTATCGTGGCCTGAATAAAGTCATGCCACTGCTGAGTGCTGCGGTGCCTGACATGCTAGAACTCCAGTACGAACTGGAATCAAAGGCAGCCAAGTGGTATGCTGCAATTGAGATAGCTAATTGATATAGCTAATTGAGATAGCTAATGCATTTTCCTCCATCCCTTTGGCAGCAGAGTGCAGGCCACAGTTTGCTCTTACTTTGAGGGGTGTCTAATACACCAGGAATCGACTGCCCCAGGGGTGGAAACAAAGCCCTACCATACCTAGACTACATGATGTGGACACCATTTGATTTGCACACCATGGAAGAACTGCCTGTGTTCTGCAGTGTATGAGTGCAAAGAGGAAGGACCCTGGGCTTTTAGAGCACTGGCACATTTATATCTCTCTTGGTATGACAGTTACAGAACACCTCTCAAGCGTTTTCCCATATTGTGTAGGGTGTGGAAAAGGCTCAGAACCAGCAGAGAGAGGAAGACTGCCACAGACATAGCATGGGGGAGTTGAGAGAGAAGAAGCTTCTTGGATCAGCTCCTCAGCAAAATGCTCCCCGATGCTGTGGCAGCCAAGCTGTCAGCATCTCATGCCTGCCTGTCCTGACCAAGAGTGATACAGACACTCACGGACAAAGCATTTGTTTAAGCAAGCAATATATTAGGGTTTTGGGGAGGCCGAGCTCCCGGAGTGAATGGACAATGTGCAAGAGCTAGATGGTCACTGTCCAGCTGGTAACAAAGCCTCTGCTTCAAGCAGCAGCATGGGGTGTGCCTCCCGCAAGGGTGGTTTTGCTGTGGAGAGAACACGGAGGAGCAATTCCCACTGCCAACTGAGTCCTTGGATGGTCGTCCGGCATACTCTGGTGGTCTCTTGATGAAGGCCAGAAGTCTTCCTCACTGCTAAACTTCTGACCTTTCCTGTCTTTAACAGACTTCAGCAGCCAAGCCAGTTTATGCTGGTTCCATGATCTATGCATACAGTCTTTTATGCCCTTGTCTTTGGGTTGTTAATTGTGGTCGCTAAGACCTACAGGATCACCATTCTTTATCTTGTTCCCTGTCTCAAGTCCCCCCTTTTCTTTATCCTAAGGCAAATTCTTTTGCTTACAGCACTCACTGATTCAAAATTTTCATAAAATTCTTACCGCTTTCTACATGGTGACTGATTCGGTTACACTTTCAGATTTCATAATCATCTAGTCCTTTTATACAGCACCAAATGCACACTGTACTAATAAACAGGTTAAGAATACTAGTAAAAGTGAGATCAATATTCCTATAAACAATTGCTTAAGCCAAGAAAAGTTGGGTAACCAAGAGATCATTTTGTTTCATAGTTCTTGAAAACCCCATGAGGTGTCATCTTGAACTACCTTATATAAGATCTCTGTCTTTTCCAAACTTTTTTTTTTAACTGTTTTTTTTTTTTTTTTGTGATCAGTCTCAATTTGTCCTGCCTCATTTACATACGTACAGCAATACAGCAACTAATATTTCTTAAAGTGCATCCTCCCTCTTGGGAGACTAATAAAAGGTCTAGTGCCTACAACGTTCTAATTGGTGTTATAAATGAAGTCTCAACTCAATCTGAATTTAGTAATATTTATAAAAGACAAGTAAACGGCACTGGGTGTACGGGGAGTCTATGCACTACCAACACGCACATATGAACATCGAACATTCTAAATATACAGAACATTGCTTTTACATACTAAACCTGATGTCCAATCAGAAAAGGCAACAAACAATGCTTTAAGTCGATTACTACCAATGTCCATGACTGGGGCAGCACAGTTGGTCTGGTTGAAGTGCTCCCATATCTTCCATGACTTATAACAGTCTCTATTTTCTATTCCTTTTCTTGATTACAAACACCGGAGAATTCCAGGGCTACTTGTGGGAACAATATGTTGTGCTTTAAGTTGTTAAGTAACTCGGCCTTCAGGTCTCATGCATCCCAGTCTTCCCGGATTGAAGGGAAACAGTTCCAGCTCCCTTTCAAGGCCAACAGGGCCTGGATCAAAAGGCACGTCCAGGTCACCAGAGGGTGTAACAGCAAAGTCATGGCAGTAGCGGTGGGGGAGCCGATGGTGTAGCAGAAGGATCTGTGGACGAGCCCGCAGCTCCCTCGCTGTCTGGCAAACCACACGTTTCTGACTGTGGTCCCACGTGGCTCTTTAAGGCCTCAGAGATTGCTCGCCAGGTGCCGAGCAATCCCACTGCAACCTGGTCGATTTTATTAGCAGAGTCCAACACCTTGACCTCAATTTGGTCCCATGTTTCAGGATCATAAACTGTCTGATTGTTAATAAAGGGAATAAGCTGTAAGGTTACCAGGACAGTCTTTGTTTCTAAGGACGTATGATTCCCCATAATGCGCAGCTGCTTACCAGCGAGGGGCAGTTGTGTGCTCGGCTCCGCTTCTCTCAGCTCGAGCTTCTTCCCAGCTGAGGTGCGCCCATTTCCAGAGACTTTCTGTACGAGCTTCTTTGAGCGGTTTGCTGAGTTTGGCCGAACCTATCTTCATGAGGCGATCAATGTGCCTGTTCCTGCCTTGGTCCCTGTTCTGCTAGCCTGTCCCTATTCAATCCTTCTTTCTACTTCTTTATTGATGAAATAACTTCATTGTGTTGCCTTCTTCATCTTGAGGACAGGCTCCCCTCTTACACCCTTCACCCCACAGCAGTCCTTTTCAAAACAACTTTTCACTGGTCAAACAACTTTGCCCGGCAACAGCAAACACCCAGCAACTTCCATGCCTTAATGGCTGGAGAACAAGCAACCCGAGAGGGCAAGGCGTCTCCTGAATCACCCTTCTTTGTTCCCTCTAAACTCTTTACATTCCTGATGGCCTCATCGTTGAGAGTCTGATGTAATCATCAACCATGGGGCTTGCCGACCCCCATGGCCACACTCCCACATCTCCCCCTTCTTTATTAATATCAACCATCTTCTTGACATGAATTATTACTCCATATATCACATTGATCTGTTCTAGTTGCTTGCCCAAAACTGTATGTTGTTGTTGTTGCAAATATTGGTTTCCTACTTGGGTTAGATCTTCTCATTTGTATGGCATTTGGTAAGGACTGCCATAGAATATCTCTAAGGGTCTTAGTTTTACCAATACATATTGGTTTCTAGACAGATTTTAGCAATCTGCTCTTTTATCAAATGATTCATTTGTTTCCACTTGGCCTATTGCCTGTGGCCCATACGGAGTGTGTTGTTGCCAGTCAATCCCCAGCACTTCGCTGACTTGTTGGGTCAGTTCTGAACTGAAGTGTGGTCCCCTGTCAGATGACATTACTGAGAGTACACCAAATCTCGGAATAATGTAATTCAACAATACTTTGGACACTTCTCTGGCTTTGTTAGTTCTACATGGGAATGCTCCTGGCCATCTGGAAAAGGTGTCTGTTAGTATCAATAGGCATCTGAACCCCCCTTTTCTTGGGACTTCTAAGAAACCAATTTGCCACTGTTTCCCAGGAATGTTTCCCTTCCCTATTGTTCATATTTGGGGGTTGATTCCCATCTGTGGATTCTTTTTAAGACATATGACACCTTGTTGCGATACTTGTCTGACAAATGAGGGCCAATCCATTTTCTACTTAAAAACTGTTATAATATTTCAGCTCCCCAGCATGCTTTACTATGTTCTCCAATAACCATCTAATACAACGTGGTATCACAACTCTCCCATTATTTATTTGTGTTAAACCTCTAGATAACATTTTCCATTTACATCTTCAATTAATTGCTTATAAATCTTAGAGTATTCTACTTCATTTTCTAAGGCTTTTGTTAATGCCTCAGAAAATGTGTTAGTTAATGCCTTTGATGCTGGGAGAGAAGAAGCTTATTGGATCAGCTCCACAGCTAAATGCTCCCCGATGCTGTGGCAGCCAAGCTGTCAGCATCTCATGCCCGCCTGTCCTGACCAAGAGTGATACAGACACTCACACACACAGCATTGTTCAAATAAGCAATGTATTGGTATTTTTGCAGAGGTCAAAGCTTCGGTGGTGAATGAACGCTTCCCGAGAGGCTGGGTAGTCGCTGTCCAGCTGGTAACAAAGCCTCTGCTTTCAGCCTCCCGCAAGGGTGGTTTTGCTGTGGAGAGAACACGGAGGAGCAATTCCCACTGCCAACTGAGCAGCATCTTCTCCATGTCCAGCATGCTCAGCTCCGAGGCATGTGGCAAGCAGGATGTCCGTCAGGCATCTTCATAGCTGCCACAATCATTGCTGGCTTTGGGGCTGGAAATCCCTCCTGTGCATGCTTCCCAAGGGGATGGTGGTCAGGAGGTGCGTGACAGCTGTCTTCAAGGCATGGGTGGCAAAGTTGGCGCCTAAGAGGATACAGTCACGGAGCTGCAGATGTCCGACGTGGAAGGTGTTGTGCCGACCATGCCTACGTGTGTCCTGAAGAACTGCATGTCTGGCACAGCGCAGCTCTGTGGCCACTTCATGCTGCTGCTAACAACGCGCTCTGCCTACTCGAAGCTCATGAAGGGGTCTGAGTTGTCTTGCTGTACCCCAAGCATCATCTCGATGGAGCGTGAGCTTGCAGAAGCGGGTGGAGGGCAGCACCGTTAGCTGGAGTTAGGATGACTGAGGCGCAGCCACCCAGGCTTCTGTCACCAGTTCCTGGAACCACTTTGCTGTCTTCAGTATGTTAAGCAGACAAGGGGAAGCTCCCACTGTCCCAAAATAAGGAGGATCCAAGCCCAGGTGGTATCAGGAGTGGTTGGTGTCAAGCCTCTGGAGCTGCATGAGGTCCGTCTCTCCACAGCATGCTAGCAGTTCATCACTGGCGATCAGCACGGCGCCTTCGCCGTGCACGATGTTTTCTTTCATGTCCGTAGGTTATCAGTCTTCTGAGCCGCTCTCGCACCACCTCGAACTTCTGCAGTGCATCAGCTCTGGCATATTGGTTCCGCTTCAGATGCTCGAAGAGGTTGATTGGCTCAGAATTTTGGAAGGATGGTGGCAGGACAATCACATCGGGCACCATCTCATTGCCAAAGAAGAAGTGGTCGAGGCGCTTCTCCCTCACACAGCCACGCAGGCACCGCATTATATTATCCATCCGAAGCAGAAAATCCGTCTTGTGCCACATTGCCATGGGGATGTTGGTCAGGAGGTGCATGACAATAGTCTTGATGACATAGGTGGGAAAGACTGTGCCCTCCACCAAATGGGCACAGACCTGCATGCACTTGAGGTGTATGCTGTTGAACATGCCTTCTCTGGCCACATGCTGGAAGAACTTCCTTTCTGCAACTGAACAGCTCTGTGGCCATGTTGTGCTGGGGATGGAGGTGTCCTTTCTCATCTGGCTGCTCAGGAAGATATCGGAATCCTCTTGCTGCACCCCAAATACTATTTCAATTGTGAGTCTTCTCCTGGCAGCACCTGTCAGCTGGAACTTGCACGTGCGGGTGGAAGGCAGCACTTCTACATTGTAAACCTGTGACTGAGGCATAAGCACCCAGGCTGATTTCACAAAGTTCTGGAACCACCTTGCAGTCTTCTCTGCATCGAGGTAGGAGTCGGTGCAGAGGGTGCTTAGGAGGCTCGGCTCCTGCTTTTTCAGCTCCTCCTCAGAATGGTGGAGGAAGCACAGCATGTCCCCAAAGTCCTGCTCCCTCTCGCACGTGCACTCCAGCTCCACACGGATAGAGGACTTCCTCGCCAGCAGATCCTCTTCATTGCCCAGCTCCAGGTGGAAGGAGTGCCCACGGGGTGCTGTCATGGGCACAAGTAGGCGGTAGACAGGATCCTTCATGTGGGGATTCCAACCTTCAAAGGCACCGCCCACTCCGATGGCTCGCTGCAGATTCGGGAAGAAACTACTTAGGACGACTGAGTCAAAGATATGCAGGAGGTCTCCCACAATCTCCTCCACCAGTGCGCATCTGACGGTCGGATCCGGGAATGGCCAGTAGACACGCTCAGCTATAAATCTGGGCAGATCTCTTGCATCATTGGGGGGTGGTGGTACTCTCACTTCCTCCTCTTCACTGCTGGAGCTCTCCTCCTCACTGCCATGTTCTGGGATATCTCTAAGGAGCAGCCACACGTTCCAAATAAACAGGAGAGCAACAACAACACCGGCCCAGAACTGCCAGTACTGTGTGGCAGATAAGAGCAGGGCTCCCATATGCATCGAGCTCTGCTGCTTCTCTAGCGCCTCAATTTCCAACAGGAGCTGCGCCATGCGTTCTTGCATCTCCTCCGCATACCGCCGCATGCGCTCATTTGTAGCTTCATCCAATTCATCCCCGACTTTCTGTGGGCTGATGACTAAGCCCAAAAATGCCAGGAAATAGAAAGCTGCCGAAACCATGGTCTGAAAGAGAGAGAAGCACGTCAGTGGGGCTGGGTGGGAGCTGGATGGCGGCTGAGGGAGCTGCGGCACGAGCCTCAGGCCCCTGCGGTCAGGAAGGAGAGGGGGCAAGGGAGCTGGGAGGCAGCAGGGACTGTGGGCAGTGCCAGCGGGGACAGCCACGAGCCCTGCTTTGGCCCAACCCAGTCTTCCCCCTTCTGCTGCACTAACCGATGGCTTAGGCCAAAGTGAAGCAGCGCTGCCCGCGGCTGCCTTTAAAGCCTCCCCCCCATTGTGACATGTCCTCTGTGATGTCACCTGCGCCCACACTGCATCACAGGACCCCCGCCCCACCCTCGGTGCCCACCGCACGTCCCACGTAGTATAATACCCAATTTGGAAAACAGGCGCAGCAGAGTTGAGATTAAAGCAATCAGCATTATGACAAGTGACTATTAAGCATGTCTAATACTTATACCAATTTTAGTTTAACACACTCTGGTCAGATCTGCCGTTATCTCAACTTTTCGGGCCCCACGTTGGGCACCAAAAAGAATGTCGTGGTTTAACCCGGCCGGCAGCTAAACACCACGCAGCCGTTCGCTCACCCTCCCCCTCCCTCTCTGGGACGGGGGAGAGAAATGGAAAGTGAAGCCCGTGAGTTGAGATAAAGACAGTTTAATAAGACAGGAAAATAATAATAATAATAATAATAATAATAATAATAATAATAATAATAATAATAATAATAATAATAATAATAATAATAATAATACAATGACGACGATAGTACTAACACTAATAATAGGTACAAACAAGTGATGCACAATGCAATTGCTCACCACCCGCTGACCGATGCTCAGCCTAACCCTGAGCAGTCCGGCCCCCTCCCCCGGCTAGCCACCCCTATATATTGTTTAGCATGACGTCAGATGGTATGGAATACCCCTTTGGCTAGTTTGGGTCACCTGTCCTGGGTCTGTCCCCTCCCAGCTCTTACTGCACCCCCAGCCTGCCCGTTGGCAGGACAGAGCAAGAAACTGAGATGTTCTTGGCTTAGTATAAGCACTGCTCTGCAACAATTAAAGCATCGGGGTGTTATCAGCACTCTTCTCATCCTAAGCCAAAACATAGCATTCCACCAGCTCCTAGGAAGAAAATTAATTCTGTTCTAACTGAAACCAGGACATGGGGCCACAGTCAGAAATGTGTGGTTTGCCAGACAGCGAGGGAGCTGCGAGCTCGTCCACAGATCCTTCTGCTACACCATCGGCTCCCCCACCGCTACTGCCATGACTTTGCTGTTACACCCTCTGGTGACCTGGACGTGCCTTTTCATCAAGGCCCTATTGGCCTTGAAAGGGAGCTGGAACTGTTTCCCTTCAATCTGGAAAGACTGGGATGCATGAGACCTGAAGGCCGAGTTACTTAACAACTTAAAGCACAACATATTGTTCCCACAAGTAGCCCTGGAATTCTCCGGTGTTTGTAATCAAGAAAAAGAATAGAAAATAGAGACTGTTATAAGTCATGGAAGATATGGGAGCACTTCAACCAGACCAACTGTGCTCCCCCAGTCACGGACATTGATAGTAATAGACTTAAAGCATTGTTTGTTGGATTTTCTGATTGGACATCAGGTTTAGTATGTAAAAGCAATGTTCTGTATATTTAGAATGTTCGATGTTCATATGTGCGTGTTGGTAGTACATAGACTCCCCATATACCCAGTGCCGTTTACTTGTCTTTTATAAATATTACTAAATTCAGATTGAGTTGAGACTTCATTTATAACACCAATTAGAACGTTGTAGGCACTAGACCTTTTATTAGTCTCCCAAGAGGGAGGATGCACTTTAAGAAATATTAGTTGCTGTATTGCTGTACGTATGTACATGAGGCGGGACAAATTGAGACTGATCTCAAAAAAAAAAAAAAAAAAAAAAGTTAAAAAAAAAGTTTGGAAAAGACCGAGATCTTATATAAGGTAGTTCAAGATGACACCTCATGGGGTTTTCAAGAACTATGAAACAAACTGATCTTTTGGTTACCCAACTTTTCATGGCTTAAGCAATTGTTTATAGGAATATTGATCTCACTTTTACTAGTATTCTTAACCTGTTTATTAGTACAGTGTGCATTTGGTGCTGTATAAAAGGAGTAGATGATTATGAAACCTGAAAGTGTAACCAAGTCAAGCACCATGTAGAAAGTGGTAAGAATTTTATGAAAACTTTGAATCAGTGAGTGCTGTAAGCAAAAGAATTTGCCTTAGGATAAAGAAAAGGGGGGACTTGAGACAGGGAACAAGATAAAGAATGGTGATTCTGTAGGTCTTAGCTACCACAATTAAGAACCCAAAGACAAGGGCATAAAAGACTGTATGCATAGATAACGGAACCAGCATAAACTGGCTTGGCTGCTGAAGTCTGTTAAAGACAGGAAAGGTCAGAAGTTTAGCAGTGAGGAAGACTTCTGGCCTTCATCAAGAGACCACCAGAGTATGCCGGACGACCATCCAAGGACTCAGTTGGCAGTGGGAATTGCTCCTCCGTGTTCTCTCCACAGCAAAACCACCCTTGCGGGAGGCACACCCCATGCAGCTGCTTGAAGCAGAGGCTTTGTTACCAGCTGGACAGTGACCATCTAGCTCTTGCACATTGTCCATTCACTCCGGAAGCTCGGCCTCCCCAAAACCCTAATATATTGCTTGCTTAAACAAATGCTTTGTCCGTGAGTGTCTGTATCACTCTTGGTCAGGACAGGCAGGCATGAGATGCTGACAGCTTGGCTGCCACAGCATCGGGGAGCATTTTGCTGAGGAGCTGATCCAAGAAGCTTCTTCTCTCTCAACTCCCCCATGCTATGTCTGTGGCAGTCTTCCTCTCTCTGCTGGTTCTGAGCCTTTTCCACACCCTACACAATATGGGAAAACGCTTGAGAGGTGTTCTGTAACTGTCATACCAAGAGAGATATAAATGTGCCAGTGCTCTAAAAGCCCAGGGTCCTTCCTCTTTGCACTCATACACTGCAGAACACAGGCAGTTCTTCCATGGTGTGCAAATCAAACGGTGTCCACATCATGTAGTCTAGGTATGGTAGGGCTTTGTTTCCACCCCTGGGGCAGTCGATTCCTGGTGTATTAGACACCCCTCAAAGTAAGAGCAAACTGTGGCCTGCACTCTGCTGCCAAAGGGATGGAGGAAAATGCATTAGCTATCTCAATTAGCTATATCAATTAGCTATCTCAATTGCAGCGTACCACTTGGCTGCCTTTGATTCCAGTTCGTACTGGAGTTCTAGCATGTCAGGCACCGCAGCACTCAGCAGTGGCATGACTTTATTCAGGCCACGATAGTCCACTCACCATTAGACCTTCGCACTGGCCATATGGGACTATGAAAGGGTGAGTGAATCTTGCTGATCATCCCGTGGCTCTTCAGTTGATGAATTAGCTTATGGATGAGAATGGGGGGTCTCAATTGGTGCCATATTGCTGCCGGTGCACAGCTGTGGTGGCAATTGGCACCTGCTGTTCTTTGACGCTCAGCAACCCAACAGAAGGGTCCTCCCAGAGACTGGGCAACGTAGACAACTGTTTAGTGTCCTCTGTCTCTAAGGCAGCTATGCCAAAAGCCCACCGGTACCATTTTGGGTCCTTGAAATATCCTCTCCTGACATAGTCTACGTGAAGGATGCATGGAGCATCCGGGCCTGTCACAATACGCTGCTTTTGCCACTTATTTCCAGTTAGACTCGCTTCATCCTCCAGTACAGTAAACTTCTGGGATCCCCCTGTCACCCCATAAATACAGATGGGTTCTGCCCCTATATAGTTTGACGGCATTACAGTACACTGCGGCCTCTGGGGTCTGTCAGGAATGTCCCGGCCCCCCCCCAAAGGCCGCTGGGGCCTGTCAGGAACATCCCTGTCCACCTCAGGGCCCTTGGTGCCTGTCAGGAATGTCCCTGCTCCCCTCAGGGCCATGCTGCAGTCTGGCCTGAGCCATCTGTGAGGCGAGTGCAGCAGCAGGGGGAAGGCTGGGCAGCACAGGGCTGGGGCACAAAAGCTGCCCCCCGAGGCCTTGCTAAGCCTGCAGCCAGGGCCCAGCCGCTCAGGGCAGGGCAGGTGGCTGTCACCACCAGTCCTGGCCATAGTCCCTGCTGCCAGGGACCCTTGCTGCCACCATCCCCTTGGAAATGTGGCACGGGACGGATTTTCTGCTTTGGCTGGATGATATCAGTTGGTACCTTCGCTGCTGTGTGGAAGAGAAATGTCTCAACCACTTCTTTGGCAACGAGATGGTGCCCGATGTGATTGTCCTGCCACCAGCCTTCCAGTTGTCTGGCCCGGTCAACCTCTTCCAGCATCTGAAGCGCGACCCATATGCCAAAGCTGCAGAAGTTCGAGGTGGTGCGAGATCAGCTGAAAAGACTGCTGATCTACGGACATGACAGAGACCTTCATGCACAACGAGAGCGCTCCGCTGATGGCAGATGATGACCTGCTAGCACCCTGTGGGGAGCTGGACCCCATGCAGCTCCAGAGGCTGCTTCATGGACGCTTGACACAGAGACTCCTCATAGCAAGTGGGCTTGGTTCTTGGCCTGTCCATTTCACTGGGAGCTTGGCCTCTGCAAAGATTCCAATAAATGTCTTGCTTGAACAAACTCTTTGTCTGTGAGTGTCCTCCTCGAGCCGCTGGGGCCTGTCAGGAACGTTCCTCGTCCCTTCAGAGCCGTTGGGGCCTGTCAGGAACGTTCCCTCTCCTGTTAGGGCCGTTGGGACCTGTCAGGAACTTTCTGGAACCGCTCAGGACTGTTGGGGCCATTGCTCCCCCGTCCCTCTGTTGGGACTGCTACTCCCCCCATCAGGGCTGCTCCCCCAGCTCCTCTCCAGCACTGGCATCCCCCAGTGTCACTGCCTGGCCCTGGATGGCAGTGCCTCAGCTCTTGCCAGGGAGTTTTCAGGATCAGTCTGTGTTAACCAAGCAACAGAAAGAGCTGGAGGTCTGGATGAGAGACAAGAACTGGTACTGGACACATTTATGAAGACAATAATGCAGTCTGCACAGCCCTCTGCACCCCAACAATTAGCACCATGAATTTAGACTTTACCAGTAATCCGCATCAAAGCACGTTTAGTACAGCAGTTGGCTTCCGCTCCAAGGGGTTTCAGCCAACCTGGCCATTTCTTGCCAGTGTCCACGAGGGCTGTGACTTGGTGTAGTGGGTTTACGTGGCAAGGTTTTAGTAGCAGGGGGCCTTAGGGGTGGCTTCTGGGAGAAGGATCTAGAAGCTGCCCCATGTTTGGGAAGGGCCCATGTTTGGGAAGGGCCCCTCTGCTGACCTGAGCCGAGCCAGTAAGCTGAGCCAACAACAGTATTATTTTGCGCCTCTGTGAGAGCATATTTAAGACAGGGGAAAAAACGCTGCAATATATACAGCAGCTGGGAGAGTGAGAGCAGTGAGGAACAGCCTTGCGGGCGCCAAGGTCAGTGCAGAAGGAGGGGGAGAGGTGCTGCAGGCGCCGGAGCAGAAGTCCCCTGCGGCCTGTGGTGAGGCCCATGGTGAAGCAGGCTGTCCCCCTGCAGCCCATGGAGTACCACGGTGGAGCAGGTGGCCCTGCACCGACGGAGCCTGTGGAAGACCCCTGCCGGAGCAGATTCCGGGCCGGACCTGTAGCCCGTGGAGAGGAGCCCACGCAGGAGCAGGTGATGGGGCAGGAGCTGCTGCCCGTGGGGGAGCCAGGTTGGAGCAGTTTGCTCCTGAGGGATGGACCCCGTGGTAAGGACCCATATCTGGAGCAGCTCTGGAAGAGCGGCTGCCTGTGGGAAGCCCACGCCGGATCAGTTCATCAAGGACTGCAT